GCAACAACAATACAAAAACACTTTGTCCATGCAATCGACCTCACATATGTCGCTGTTGGGTGGTATTGCATCAGAAGCCACTCGCGCAATGCAAATTTCATCGGCCACTTCGTCGGCCAATCAAAATAATCAAATGAATACCAGTTTAAATAATAATTCCACGGTCGCGATTTCGGTTGGAGCGGGAGCGACATCAGCGTCGGCGGAATTGAAGGAAGCAGCAGCAAAGGCAGCATTGGGCTCTCCCAAAGTTGCCGCACCTCAACAGCCGCCTATCATAGAATCAGCAACGTCGTCATCGTCAGCGTCATCCACAATGCAGCAGCAGCAACAACAACAGAACCAACATCAGCCACAATCTAACATAACTAATTCTACGAGTGTTAGTGGCACTGTCGCTACTGTGGCAACCACTGCCAATTCGTCGTCGTCCTCACCGAATGCAGAAGCAGCTAAAACTCCAATTGCAATGGATACAACACCGCCACCTGTAACGCCGCCAGCAACCACCACACCGACTACAACGGCGGCGGCATCGCCGACGAAAAATGTAGCGAATGTAACCTCCATTACGCAACCTACCACATCGTCGCCAACTAAAGGTAGAGTGAATGCGGTCAGATTTATAGTTTCATAAATTTTATTTTGTTATTTCTTTCGTTTTATTATTATTATTATTATTTTTATATACATCTGTGCATATATGTGTAAACTTGTACTTTCATATTTTTCTTAAATAAATAAAAAATTTGAATAACTCCTCACAGGCACTGTTGGTAATCGCTCAAATGACCCCATCAAAACCGGCAACGCTGAGGTTGAAAAAGCCGCAGCAACTGCATCTTCTGCAAATGATGAAATTACTACTCCAGCTGCTAAGCTAACGAATGCAGTCTCGACAAGCATACCCACCACCATGCCCAAGAACACTTCCAGTGTGGCAAGCGCAAAAGTGGAAAAGGACCTCCCGAAAGCCATGATCAAGCCCAATGTGTTGACACATGTCATAGATGGTTTTATAATACAAGAGGCCAACGAACCATTCCCCGTGACACGGCAACGCTACGCAGATAAGGATGCGGACGACGAACCGCCCAGTAAGTATTACCATTTTTCCCCCACATTATACTCGTTAACTCCACAGTATACTAATCTATCATTTTGCAGAGAAAAAATCGGCTATGGACGAGAATTCGCACAATGCTATCAATCAAACCAACGGACAGACTTCTCTACCACCCGACATGATCGCATGCGAGCATTGCGGCAAACCTGAGCACAAAGCTAAGCTGAAGAAGAAACGTTTCTGCTCGCTAACGTGTGCCCGACAATCGAAGGCTTCCATGAGCGAGCAACCAACAGAGGCGCCCACACAAAGCAATACCAGCAATACTGTGGCAAGCAACCAGAATGCTGCTGCTGATGCCAAGGCCATTGCTGAAATCTCCAGTATTACGAGCAACGCAAATAATGCTGCTGCACCTGAGAAAATGCAAACTGAACCCATACCGTCGGCGCCAGTCACTGCCTACAGCAATAGTGCTGCCCAAAATGGCGCTGCTAGGCTTGAAAATGCAGCAGCTGTTGCTGCCGTTGTTGCTGCTGAGGCGCAACAGGTGGCCAATGTTGCGGCCGCCAATGCTGTTGCTGCCGCAGCTGCAGCTTCTGCAGCAACTGGATCTGCTGGTGGGGCGCATGCAGCGGCCACACCTGCCGAACGCCCGGCAATGGCCGATTGGAGTGTGGCTGAAGTATGCGAGTTCATACGCCATTTGCCTGGCTGCTTGGACTATGTGGATGATTTTGAACAGCAAGAAATTGATGGACAAGCCTTGATGTTGCTCAAGGAGAATCATTTAGTGAATGCGATGGGCATGAAATTGGGACCAGCGCTAAAGATTGTCGCAAAAGTTGAGTCGATGAAGGAGCAGACGCCAGCGCCTAGTGCCGATAAAGAAGCACAACAGTAGAAGCGGTGTTTAAAATTTTGTAAATAAATGATTTTGAAGCGATATTTTTCTTCAATAATTAATAGCATAAAAGGAGTTAAGCAAGCGAGTAAATGCTCTATCTTATATACATACATACATAAGTAGGCTCTGTACATAAAGTAGTCGAAGGAAAATGATGATAAGTTCTATATGTGGGTAACTTTTTTAACTACTACTACTACTCCTGAAATCGAAATAACTATGGATATAAATAGTTTTATGTAAACATTAAGTGTGGAAATATATACATAGAATTAAACTGCGCGCGTTATTTATGCTAAGTGAGATTGGAAGTATCTTTCACTATATTTAAGTATTACTTTAGAGGTTTCTTTTCTGTTATATATATACTGTTTTATTATTCGTAGATTAATCACTTTTTCTCTTCATGTTTATTTGTATTAGACACTTTTATTGAAATTTAGTAATAAATATGTGAAGTTCATTATACGAGTATACATAATTAATATAATTAGCGCCTAGAGTACAGGCTTAATTTCCGCACTGGAGTTTCGCAAGCGTTTAAGGCGCTCATATTTTTTTTTTTTGCGTTGTAGAAAGTGAAAACTCGACAACCTACAGATGTAAACTCAAAGAGTATTTTTATGCTTAATATTAACAATTACGTTATATTTAATGGTAGCTTGTAAACATGTAAATTCAAATGAATACCAATCTAACATTTGCAATTGAAGCATTATCGAAATAACTAAATAAATGGCGTTCACTACCAGTAAGTTTATGTGAAAAATTCGTAAAAAAATGCTTTACTTTCTTTGCTAAGGATAGAACTCAATACCAGGATTTTTAGGTGTTCAACGCTTTTTAAGTTTTCAGCGTGTATCTGAGTAAAACACTGACAACCTAAACAGCGTTTAACAACAGAAAAACGTACCGGAATCACTCACGTTTACACAATATGCTCGGTGTGTTGGTCCAGAATATACCGTAACGTAACATCAGTCAAGAGCAATTCCCGCCTTGGCTGGTGCCACTTTAGGCCATTTTTCGGACTGTGAACTACGCGATATTGTGTTGCTGAGTCGCTATCTTCCCCCGGGGCGCCGCCCACTACCACCCCAAGGCAGCACCCCCTTCAGCAGCACACCCAGCAGGCGGCCGGCAGGCATAACAACTCCCTAATACCACACATTGCAATCAGTCTCCCAAGGCACACAAAGATCCTACAGGTTAACTGTAACGGACTACAGAGCAAGATCGAGGATATTACCGTCTTCATGGGCCGGCATGGAATACTAATAGCTGCGGTCCGAGAGACGAAGTTGCACAGCAATTCAACACACCTAGCGTTCATTATACACCACCATCCTCCCATCGAAGCAGGCATCGACCGCGGGTATACCACCCTAGAATGCCAGAGTATTGCTATTCGGCCAGGCGATCTCGAGTTGGAAATATTTAATGCTTATATACCCGCTGTCACCAGCAGGATATCACCCTGAAATAGGTGCGCTCCTCAGAGGTGAAAACCGTATGGTAGTCGGTGACTTCAACGCGCACCTCGATCTTTGGCACTCAAGCCTGTCGAATGATGGTAGGGGAAACCTATTGGCTGAGCAGATAGACTATTCGACATTCTGCACACTGAACGACGACGCACCCACCAAGATTATGGGCAGCTGCAGTAGCACGCCTGACATAACAATTGTGAGCGCTGGTCTGATAAACAGCACAACATGGCGACCTATGCAGACTCTGGCATCAGCCCATCTGCCCATTGTTATCGCGATTGATAAACCTGTCGACTTTGCTTCATACTGTATATTAACTTTAACAAAGCTAATTGGAACACCAATACCGACTAAGAGTGAGATTAAGGAAGCTTTCTCTGATGGCCTTTGATTACCGCCTGCGAGTGGTCGGTAGGAGTTAATGGGTCGATTACGGATTGCAACCGAACTTCAGTCGGGTGGCCAGTGGCTGAAACGGTATTACAGATGGCAACTGGCAACTGAAAGCTCGCAACTGAGTTGCTATACTGGCAACTGCATTTTTGTTTTTGCCGCAGAAATTTTGATTGAGATAACTACGGTTGCATTGCCATCCATAATCGACCCATAAGTCGGAGTATTAAAAGGCAACGTGGGTTTTGTGACACGTGTAGAGCACCGAAATACAACGGCGAATTTTCCTTGCGACAAGCGTTGTTTTAAACAGATTGTTAGTGACAAATTGCAATAAAGATCTCTCTCGATAAATGTGCTTTACATATATATATATATGTATGCTGAGGTACATTCTTCTATAATTTGTGCGGTGCGCGTTGTCACACAAATACAGGGGCATCAGTTCCCTTCGCCTTTTTCTGGATTGTTATAAAGCTTTACATATTCTGCCATAGCCTGAGTTTCGCCCGAAAAAAATTTCACCTGAAAATTTGTATTCCGCCCATAGTAAATACTCGGAAACCAAATATGAAGAGTGAACCGGTTCGGAGAAAATAAAACTCATGATAAGGCTGATTATTTTTCATAGATGTAGCCATTTTGCTGAAATTCTTTAATTTTAAATTTTTTAGTATCTAAGTATATATATTCATAAATACTTACACGAATG